CAGGCCAGATATTTCATGTATGTTCTGAAAGCGCCATGGCGCTCTGTCTGCAAACTTATCAGGAACTTAAGAGGCATTTTCACAGCAGAAATATTGATGTACAGCAGTTAATGCATAGGTGTGATATTAGTTAAGATGGAATGCAGCCATCATTGAGGTTATTAGTGGCACTTGTGTTTGGCAAGTCAACAGTCAAAGTCATATGGTGTGCATGTGCATGTCAAATGCATGTTGACGGTGCACGTGTATTGTGTTTAATGCATTTTGAGTTTTGACAATGGAAACTACAGTTGTCTGTGAAGCTCTGTGATAGAGGTGTTTATATTAGATCATTTATCACATGAGGGAGGGAGGGAAAATTTAGCTATAAACACTTTTTGTATAACATATTGTTATGTTCACCTTCAAAGGTAAAAACTCAAAATTCACATTTTCCTCATATTTCTTATTTTTCAGGCTGTTATATGCACCAAACTCACTCAAACACAATGGAGCAACCTTCAAAAATATCAACATGCAAAGAGAGAGCTGTTAATATAATATTGATGCATCTTCACATATCTGAGTCTGTTTTCTTTCTCTCTTACTGTGTCTTTATCCCAGGCTACATGTTCCCAGAACCAGGAGGTCCAATGTACAGGAGACCTCCACCTCCTCCAGGAGCTCTGGGCCTTTTGCCTCCTCCTGGCTCTCTCCCACACGGCCCTCTCCATCCTCGGGGTCTCCCCCCAGGACCCCCTCACCCTGCAGACTTGGCAGGTGAGTCGCTGTGATCTGTATAGCTGCTTGTCATGTTCTCATCTATAGTGTCCTGCTGTCTTTAAGTCTTTTGGACTGCAGATAGGTGAATGTTCACATACTGAAACTGATAAGAAGAATGCAAACTTTTGTGGGTTTTTAGATGTGTTGGATTGCAAACTCGAAACAAAAAAACATGAACTATCTAGTTAATTTCCTCTTTTCATTCATTTCAATGCAGATGGCTCATACAGAGAAAACAGCCATGGGCCTGGTGAACTTGAGCACAGAGAGGTAAGAGATTGATAAGAGATTATTTGTGTGTTTTTGAGGGATTTTGTGTGAGAAGCTTGTGTGTTGGGATTGTTGATCCTGCATCTGTAACATTTCTGTATCTGTGTAACCAGTCTGGTCCTGGTGAACGAAGGACTCCCCCTGAAGCTGATCTAAGGATGGGCGGCCCACCCCCTCCTGGACCCCCAATGGGTCCCATGGATGGTCCCTTTCCTCGCAGAGCCCCCTTTGGACCACCACCTCCCGATTTCTACCCTCCCAGGGGGCCTGGGGGCCCTCCTATGATGCCTAGTAAGCAGCCACGGCCACAACTCTATTTTTCCCTAAATGTCATCAGAGTTAACCTAACGCTCTTTCCATTTCCTCTTTCTTCAGTGTGGGCCCCTCCACCGATGATGTTCCCGCCTCGTTTCCCTCCCGGTGGACCTCCTCTTCCTCCTGCTCCTCATCCTCACTACGGCCCACCAGTGCGGCCCCCTCTGCCCGACGGCCACCCACATCCTTCCATGGGTCCCCTCCCTCCTCAGCAGTCCATCCCCTCCCCACCACACAGCCAGTCGCCAGAGGAGCACACACCCTCGCCTGAAGACGCCATTTGAGCCTGACCAGGTTTTCCACTCGAGCTGTGAGATGACGCATTTCTGGTTCAAATTTAACTCAGCAGTAGACGGATGTTTGGGCGGGTTGCTGTTTCCATCATTCTGTTATCTTTAACACCTACATATTAACCAGGAGGATTTATTTAATGAAGAGTGTTTGCGCAGGGGAAAGCCTTCAGCCTTCACAAGCCCACTTTGTTGCTGTTTGTCTGCTTCTGCTCGGTCTTTATGCTCTATTCACATCCTCTCTCCTCTCTCTCTCCTGCCCTGTCACTTGCCTTGTTTCCCTCTGTTGCTTTGCCCTATCATCATCCAGCGACATTCCCTGCAAAGTACTTCCTGTTGTTGTGGACTCACGGTGACAACGGTTATGTTCTGTTGTGTAATTTCACAGGCAGCTTAATCTGTACGTCTGTGTGTGGGAATGTTGCCATGTGAACCAGAAACAGTTGCTTGTTTTCTTGACAATGCCAGAATGGTTTTCAGTGGCACTTAGGTTGAAATGTGTGCATGTAGGAATGCTGTATGTGTGGTATGTGGCAGAGAATATGTGTGTTTACTTATGGAATCAGTCAACATTTCATCCCAATGGCACAAAAAGAGAAATCTAAATGATCTTGGGCTATCATGGAAAAAATGCCTCTTTTTAGGCCAAATACAAGATATTTTATTACACCAATGTTCTCGCCATTTTTACCATAATTTAAAAAAAAAATAGCCCTTTAGTATTTTCGTAGTTGTTGACCTTGATTCGACTATACTTAAATCAGAAAACGTCACATCTTGTCTCCTGAGATGATCTTAAACTCTAAATATTCCTCAAATGAGAAAGTTTCTTAAAATATATCATTAAAGTGCATAACTGATGGCTCCCCTGTGGAATTAGTGGCACTTTGCCTTCATCAACAAAGCTATTATTTAAAACAGCAGCAAGTAAACAGTGTTTCTGATGATGTTACAGTGACCTGCATATGGCCAAGGCTTGAAAAAGTGGCTTATAGTAGCTGCTTGTATTTTGTCGAAGTAAGCTGTGTCAAGTAAATGGACTGATTGGAAGAGAGGCTACGTTCAGAGCCAGGAAGATGACACCCATGTGAATTTTGTAAAAAGTGATTATTACCAGATAAATAAAGAGTGTCAAATTGTCAATGTCTCCATAATTATATTATTCATGTTGAATTTGTTGTGCATGGAGCAAACTCATCAGAGGCCTCCAGGGATAACAGAGCATTGGAATGTAACTGGAAGTCAAGTTTAGTTGGTTATCAGTGTTTTCTATAATACTGTACATATGACATACATTGGTAATGTTTTAAATACAGTAAATATATAAATGCAAAATATACCTTAATTTATTGCAACCTTGATTGTACAGCACAATCCATATGCAATAATCTCTAAATATCTGACCAAACTCCTGTGATGTGTCATTTTAAACATTAACAGAACTTTTATTTGAAGATGAACTTAACATTAAGAAAATAAATTTGTGACTATGCAATTTAAATTACTTGTAAACTATAGATAATTCTGTAGAAGTTTAGATGTGAAATTTAAATCAGATTTATTGCAATTGCTATAAATAGTTGCGATTTTAGTGGGAATGGGAACATCTGGAATATGATTTGAAGGCTGGCTGTGACATCTCAATGCTATGTTGTGACACATTTTGCCTTTTATCAAAAACAAAGCAGCTCATGTAATTTGGATATTGCAGTTGGCCATATTGCAATTTTGATCATGTTTCAAATAATTAGGCTGCCCATATAACATCTCTGAATTCTGAATAAATATTCATATGCTGCTTTCCCCTAATTCATGAAAATACAGATGATACATACTGACTTGGAGAATATCAACTCAGTGTTTGTGGTAATAAGAAATGCCCTACTTTCAACTATATGTTTTAATATCATTCATATTATGGTATGGCTAATTGACAGATAAAGTAACTTTCATAGAAATTTGTTCTGATACACAGTGACAACAGACCTTTTTCACAGCAGACATTTTGACATGTCAAAACAGGAAAATCATGGGTGTAGCATAAGATGTTAATGTTGGCTCCATTCCACTTGGGTAAACCAGAAACTGGGTTCTTGTATTCCACATGCTGACAAAGTGACATTTCTTTGTGGGACACTTATTGGAACAAAGCCATCATTAATGTTTTTTTGTTCTACAAACACAAAATCTGCTGTGAGACAGACCTATTAACCTCTCTGCAACTTATTTTTGGAATAAGACCATTAGTCAAACAGATTATTGTGGTGAATCATAACTGAACTTCACTGGCTGTCCTGTGGACTGCAACATTTCCATCTTTAAAGCTATTGTTTTGAACCAAAAGCAACAAGCAACCCATGTTTTTGATCTTGTTACACTGACTTACACTTGGCTTTGCCTTCAGAAATGTAGCTTATTATAGCCTCTTGTGTTCTGTCTCTAAAGAAAGAAGTTGTAAGTAAAATGAGACACACCTGGGCTTATGCTCACTATATAGATGGTATGATGTCACCATTTGTAGAGGTTGCCACAGTCACTGTCCCCCGTGCTGGAAACATGAGGAACAAGCTGTTATACAATTGACTGTCAAACTAATTTAGGGAGAGCTGCAGCACAGGTCTTTACAGACTGCTAACGGTTGAAGATGAGGCAAAATTGAGCAACATTTTTTTGTGGTTGTGTGACACCTCTAGTCCAACCACAGTTTTCTTATAGTATTGTTGAGAATTTGTTGAGGTCATTGTGGTTTTAACCAGGCGGGCAAATCCTGCTTGACTAAGCAGTGTGAGCAAATTTTTACGGTTGGCTCTTTCATGGTTGTATGCACCTGTTGTCTCTAAATATTTCTGTTTTACAGCAGTTGTACTACAGAGAGTGAAACAGATCATCATAAGTCATCTATTACCGGTGTTTTTATACAAGCCTCAATGCACCCTGTGGTCAGTGATGTGGTAGAGATACAGAGGTTGTGCAGTACATTCCTTCCATTCCAGTACAGAAGTGCTCTTTAGTGTGATCAATAGTCATTTTATTAGCAGAATATATACTCTGGTGTTAAGTCCTCTTTGATCAAGGCAGCTTTGGTGGTATGGCCTCCATATTAGTTCCTGCATGAGCCACTACTTCCTTTTTATATGCTGTGTTTAGGCCCTGTAAAGCACTCTGTAAACACTGTAATGGAAAACTGCTAAATATTTCATTCTTATTTGGGAGATTAATGCTTGCAAAGAGCTGAGGCTGGAGGCTCTCCTTGGTCTGGCACTACTTTGACTATAATGTAAACCGTCAATGTGCTCACTATATGCCTTGCTGTCAGTCAGCGTCTTCATCACCAAAGATACATTTAACAGAGACGCCACAAAGTACGTATAAAACAAACTTTTAATTGTAAAACCCACCCACATCATCAACAAGAAAGACACATACATACCTGACACATTAACATCAACTGTCAAAAAAATATTGATGTGAATATTTAACATCCCCAACACCTTAATCTTTAAAAACATCTGTTTATGAAATCAATTTTATTAAATGGCAGTTTGCTCATCGTCTTTTGTAAACAGTGGGGTGTGTCTATGAAGATTCAGTGGCAGGGTATCATTGGAAGGAAGGACATGGTTTGGTTCCTTCCCTGTCTGTACAATTATCATCATCATCATCGTCACAGTAGGCTTTTTAAAAATACTCCTGACAATTCCTACGCAGCCATATAAAAACCAGTAATAATGCAAACATGGATTTTACTTTAAAAAGTGAGCAACATATAGACAGAGAAGAGGTAGATGTGAGAAGAAGAGAATGTAACAGTAATACCTGTTGAATACCAACTTTAAAGGGATGCCTTGTTATTTTAACTTTTCATATGTTCTGTCCCTCAGTTATTACAAAATAATTTTGTAAATGCAGTTACCATGACTCATTACATTATTGATTACGGTTTGCGGTTGCAGTGATGTAATGGTGAACTGACTTTATTTTATGATCCACATAAAAATAACCAGCTCTGTTAACAAAAATATATTGAAAATGCCCTGGTATCCCAAAAACACTGTATATGGTCAAACAGATCTACTGAAATACCCCTATTATTGCTATGTGCTTATCACCACTTACCAACAGAGTCGGTGGTATGAGGAAGTCCACTGGCAGTTTGAAAAGGGTGAGTTAATGTCTAACATGTCAGTGTCCAGTAGAAATACAATACCTCCTTGAATTTGGATTATAGATTATATTCAGATGGACACTAACATTTTAGGCTTTAACTTACCTTAACGTCCACATACCACTATCTCCAAATCTAAGTATTATTCCTTTCTGAATGTACTACAAAGTCTGTCGTGGTCACTAATGCACACAGGATCTTGGGAGTATCTCTTGCCTTATCTTTCATTTTGAATACTACTACCACTGAGTTTGTCTCAACCACAGTCACTGCAACCAAACTGTGACTCTGTGACTAATAATGCAAGAAAAAGAATGTGACAATGAAGCTGACTTAAAAGTAGGCACTGTGTGCTGGATGCTTTGAAACAACAAAACTGTACAAAGTGTCATATGATCACCAACTAACTATTCAAAACAGCTTACCAAAAAGTATAATTAGTCTCATACAAGACATTTGAACTGATCCACAATAAAAAAAAAAAGTTACAAAAATTTAAAATATCTCATGGCACAACTGACCAAAATCTCAATGCTTACAATTACACACAATTACATGGAGCCTGTGAAACCTTCTCCTTGACCTTGTCGCTGAGCATATAAGGGTCCTGACATCCTGGTTTAAATACTCCACAAAGGAAAACCTTCTACACGCTAAGGTATCCCAAAATAAATGCTCAAATTTAAATGTTTGCAAAGGCTCTTGAACTGCTGGTGATTACAGCGCTGCAAACAATTGTGAAAACTCAACGTAGCTTGTGGTGTGTTTGTTAAATGGTTTCCATGTCAGATAACAGAGTTTGCTAGCTGTAAAACATGTTTACTAAATCTAGGCAACAGTTTACTCAGGGTGTTAACAAGGTTGTACAAAAATTTTAAGTTCAGCTGGAATGCCAGCTGACACTGCCACAATCAAAGTCAAACACAATGCTTGATTTTGGTCACGTTCCCACTCATTTTGTGTGTAAAGACAATGGCACTATCACCAAATCTAGGATTTTGGGAGGCGATAATTTCAAACCTTACAATCCAAAATGTAAAACCTTTTTTAATACAAACAGTCTTAATCTAATCCTCAGTGGACAAACTATAAATATCATAGTCTGAAATGGTGTACTACACATGTAAACATGATTTAAATCATGTTTCAACACTGTTTCACTTTCAAGCCAGGAGTCATGTCTTGTGCCACTTTGAGTATTAGCCCTCTATTTAGAAGATATGATGATAAAATTGAAAAATAAAATATATGCCAGTTTGTGTCACACACATGCTCTGCAATGTGGCTCTTTCTTTGCTACTGAACAGTTCCAAGACATCAGTCAATAAAACCCTGATTTCATTAGTTTGTGTCCAGTGACACATCAGTGGCTTCAACACCTTGAAAACAACACAAATCTGGGGCACACAGTCATTCCAAAAATAACTTCTCACAGTGAAATGAAATGTGATGAAGACTGGGATTAGTTTCAATGGCTTCAGCAGACATCAGTCTTTAAAAACCTGTACAGGTTGAAATCTGGGCATCACACTTTTCCTTACAACTGTCCATTAAGAGGGAAACCTTCTTGTACCTCTCCACTGAGTAAACAGAAACCAACACTGATACAGACAAAAACAACAACAAAAAAGTAAATGAATGCTTCTATTCCTGTTTGTTCTCTAAAGGGGTTCAAACCCATGAGTCCTTATTGTGTGTGCCTGCTGGCACAAGAGGCAGCTTACCGACTGGTGTCACTGTTAGCTGAGGAGTGTAGTGGATTGTGGGAAGATTCAAAGAATGTTCATGCTTGTCATATATATGTTTGCATCTATGTTGTGCATGTGTTTGTGATCCTGGTGTGTTTGAATATTCCTATTGTGTGACTGAGTGTGTGTGTGTGTGTGTGTGACACTGTATGTGTGTGTGTGTGTGTGTGTGTGTTCCTCAGCAGTTAAGAATGGGTCTGCTCCTGTCTGGTCTGAATGGGAACACAGGGCTGTCAGAGTCGGCCTTCCCTCTGTGGGGACCCAGAGTAGCCACAGCCTGGAAGACAACACACACAGCTGTTAAACGTTGCCTTCACACACAGACTAATGCCACCTAAGGGACAAAGACACAGCTTTGATTATCAACAAACATTTGCACACCTTTCTGATGGCTGTCCAGTCCTCCAGGATGTCCAAGTCAGGTAGCATGTAAACAATATATGGGCGTGAGTGGAGTCAAGGACAGTGCCACACAATTCCAAATATAAGACACCATCTAGATACCAGCATTTGGGATATACAGAAGCAGTATAAAAACTAAATAGTATCAATGGGAACAGTAACAGAGGTTTTAACAGCGGAAGGATATCAGACACCACTGAAGGTCGTCTCCTCTTCTTATCTGGACTTAAAGCGTCTCTCCTCTTCTTCCTTCCTGAAAGCTCATCATTCCACAACTCTGATAGAGGGACACAGAGAGACAGACGGATTACAATGTTTTGTGCATGCACTGAATATAAAATAAAATGCTGGATGCGTCTAGTGTGTTCCTAATACTGTAATAAAATGTATGGATATGCACATGCATGACAACTGTGTTTTGAGTGTGTCACCTGATGTAATATCTATGCTGTGTCTGTCTTCCTCCAGTCTTCTAATTTTCTCCTCCAGTTCACTCTGTACTGTGTCGAACAGCAGCAGCTTCTCACTCTGCACACACGTGCGCGCGCACACACACACACACACACACACACAAAAACATAAGCATAATATAACACACAAGCATACATCTGAATACATACATACTCCACCACAAATCACATAGATCGAATAACAGAAAAAAAATAGATAATCACAGCAGTAACTCTTTATAAGACATTTGGGAATTAAAATGTGTGTGTGTCTGACCTCCCAGTGCTGGCATGCTGCCTGAATCTCACACTCATACTTGTTCTTCACAGACTCCAGACACAACTCTCTGTAGATACCTGACAAACACAAAGGATAACACAAAATGAGAGACTAAATAAGGGGACCAGAGTGTATCAGACTTCATGAAGTGTTTCTGGCTGTGTGTTGAAGTTACCTGCCACTTTGGTGCGGACCTGCATGTTCTCTAGCAGTACAGCCAGAGGCTCCAGATATTCTGCTGCCCGCCCAGCCTCCACCTCTGCCAGCTTGCTGTTCACCTGACTAAGACGCTCACGATACAGCCTGCGGACAAACACATGTGGGATTAGAGCCACAACTAATTCTTATTGATGCCATTTTCAAATTTCAAAGTCAATAGATAAATGTAAAAAAAAAATCATTTCAGTCTCACTGGTCTTTGAGATCTGTGAACTGTTTCTCCAGGTTGGACATTTCATCGAGACACTCCATCCTCCTCCGCTCACAGTCCTCCTCATCCATTTCTGGAACATGATAAAGACAAACATCTCTTCTTGGTTCCATATTATGAGAGTGATGGGGGACAGAAACTGCTCAGGAGCTGATATGGAAGCAAAACCTGGCTGACACATATTTCTGCAGATAACTCATTGACTGGGAACGTCCAGTCAAACCTTGAACAGCAACTACTTTTTCTCTACACCTAAATCATGCTTCTTTTAATGGCAATCATTAACATAATTCGAAAAAAATGGTGTGCTCATATTCTGCTGTGTAAGACTTTCTCACCAGAGCTGTCTCCATCCTCAGAGACAGAGGAGGTGTCAGAATCTTCCTCCTCTGAGCTGGACGCGTCTTGCTCGTGCTCTTCCACCTCCATCTCCTCTGCTGTGCTCTCCTTCTTCTCCCGATCACGGTGCCCCGGCATGGTTGCAGGTTTACTCCAGACTGGTAGTGTTATATAGAAAAACAGCCAGGCTTTATTGAACCTGCAATAGATACAGCTGTGTGCTTTTCATATATTATTTAATTCCATTTATCCAGTTTTAAGCCTATTGACATATGTGCATGACAACGGAAACTTGGCTTGACTTGGCTGTTCAAAGTAATTACATATAATTGTGAATGACTTGTTGATGTACACACTCATTTTACTTCTTTCACCTGATATGGTTATAAAAGTTCTGAAAAAAATCATTAAAGGGTCGTAGGATGATGTTAATCCATCCACATAACTGAAATAGCCCCATTTGCCAAAAGCAAATAGTGGTGTGGGGAAACCGCCGAATATCAATTTCTACTGGACTATGTTTTCTACATATTTGTCTTTTAATTTAGCTGTTTTTTATGACGGATCAATTTGGAAAATGACATTAAAATACCGTGGGAAGTACTGTTACGTCAATGTATATTCCTGAACACAAGAATGAACCCATACGGTAGATGGTTATATCTTATTGCTTGAGATAGTTTGTTAAATGTTACTCACCCAAAGCAATTTTAATTCACTAAGAAATGTAGCTGTTTGCCTTTTAAATAATCAAATTACACAAGACAAATAACGACAAGTGCCAACACATTATGTTAGCATTACGTTAGCATGTTAGCATGGCAGTATAGTTAGTTAGCAAGCAAGACTAGCACGACTTGTTACAAAAATATGTAAAATAGGAATCTCGAAAATAAAGAAAAACTTACACGATGGAGAGATGCAGGACGTTTGCGAGAATGTTTTAAGAAAACCAAAAAGCTTGAAGTTATTTTTTACTCGGTTACAATTTCACTCGTGTGTCCCTGCTAGGCTAAAAACAAATCTCTGTAGGGCGCTCTTATTTGTGTAGGGAGCTGTAGTTTTCTGCATTGCCAATGTTCACTTAACTAACAGGCCAATAGCCAGCCGTACACTACGTTACCCAGGATTCAACACTGTTGCCTCAGTTGGAGAGCTCGAGCACAACTGTCGAAAGGCGTTTTAAACTTAACCGTCGTAAATTTAGAAATGCCGTTTGTGTCAGAAATATGTTGCAGTTTTGTAACATTCGCATATTATATAGTTCAAACGGGATAACCAAAGTTTGCTTATTGTTGAACTGTTTTGACGTTGGATTTATCTGGTATCCATTATTTTGTTTTCCCTCCTCCCTCCTCCGCCATGATGTTTTCTAAGTGAACAGCGGAGCTAGCTAACCAGCTAGTTTAACGTTAGCTGTCAGGCTGCGGACTGTTGTGGAAGGGAGGTGCGATGGATGGATGCTTTGCCCCGCTCCGTTTTACATATTTTTTTTAGTAAAGCAGAATGCGCCGACAACATTTACTAACTGATATACTCCGCGCTATTGCGGAGGGCTGCTAACTCGCAGCGCTACGTTAATACATGACCAAGGAGCAACGATTTTTGGTTACAGTTTGAAGATTAACGCTAGCTGAGGCTGTTTAAGTGGCTACACAGCTAGCTCCTCCTTGCTGTCTACCATCGCATTCTTGTGTCTCCTGCCCCAGGAATGTTTTCCAAAAAGCCTCATGGGGACGTTAAAAAATCAACACAGAAAGTGTTGGACCCAAAGAAGGACGTGTTGACGAGGCTGAAACATCTCAGAATAGTCATAGGTAAGTTAAGAATAATTATTAAGCAGCTAACAGGTTAGCTCATACGTGCCAGTCTGTGGATACAGGGAATGCCACACCAAACTGCTCTCGGAAATCACGAATGTCAAAGTTGTCTTGCATGTAAACAGAGGCGCAGCCCTTTTATAACAAACTAGAGACTATTTCAGATTTTTTAAGTATCTAATGATCAATTCGGCAACTCACCTGTAGTACACTGCAAAACACTTGATCACTTGTTCTAATTGTTTTACAGTCGTTCGTCTTTATTATCGTTATTGGGATTTTTTCTTATTCCATTAACGTTATAATGATATTGACGGACAGTTATGAGCCTTGTTGTATCGACTAAAAGTGAAATGTGTTTTAAAGTAAATGGGGCTAGCTGTGTCCGCTGCCAACTCAATCTGTCGAGGTATACGAGGGTTTAAAGGCGTGCTTTACACTGTGTTAGTGGCAGTTCCATTACAATGTCAAATTTTTGAATGGATTTCGACTTAAGGTTTCTGAATGGAGAAGAATCCCATGTTATATGATTACTACCATGTGATAACGTGTGTATGAAGCTGTCTGCAAAAGATTTCAGTGATGCGCTTTTAGCCAGGTTGTTTTGATTGTACCAGGGGTGTGCCCGAGTTCTGGATAAGGACCTGACGTTTGAGAAAGGTCTTTTTTTAACATGTGTTAAGATGTGTTACCGCTCAGAACCAAGTGCAATGTTTTGATTGTGTGTGGGAGTAAGGATGATGTTAGGGTAATGAGTATGAATAAGTGATGGATTTGTGAGTGCGTTTTGTGATTTACGCCTGTGTGTATCTTTCACTGGCACGCACTTGCCCTCACACATGTACACACCCACAAACACACAAACACTGACCGGGGAGGGAAACAGCCTCTACTATTTCCTCTCTATAGCCAGTACAGTAGCTCAACTTCCTGTTTCTATTGTAAGAGCTACTGGACTTTATGTTTGTGTGCGTGTGTGCGTGTGTGCGTGTGTGTGTGTGACACAGAGAGAAAGGGGTGTGCCCCTCATTGTGCTCAATGGGGAATACAAGACCTTGATAACAGTCACACTGACGCACACACACAAACAGACTTGCAGTCACATTGTTTGAGAAGGAACTCTCAGACAGTTGAACAACAGCAAACCACATAGTTTTAACGATCACGGTGCCAGACCACCACTTGGAGAAAATGCATATGGGCACTATTAGTTGCAGCGCTGATGTGAACTGGAGCAATGCCACGTTGGAGAGCAAGCAGGCTAAAAAAATACACCCCACAGCAAGAATCACTTGGCCAGCGGCCATGTTGCTGATGATGTTCTTGTAGCTGTCACTCTCGTAAAAAAACTGACTGACCAGCTTTTACTCTAAAACAAGACCCTCTCCTGGAAACACACAAAGAGTGAGCACTAAAAGTGTTGGATAGTTTGTGTTTTTTTTGTTTGTTTGTGTGTTTTATTTTTGTAATATTGTAGTTCATACTTGATCTTAAAGACTAATTCAGCAAGAAGCTATTGCATCAGTTTGCAATTCCTTTGATGTAATCAGGTTAAGTAACTGATCTTAAGGCCTGTTTGGCTCTGCCAGATCCTGGAACAAATAGCTAGCTCCACGGTTGTGTTTAGGATTATGACTAAGCCTTGATTACATTTATATTGAGGTTAAGAATCTAGCCATTGTCTAAATAAGATACTATTGTGTTTACAAGCTGTATAGCTCAGTCGATAATGACAGAAAATGCCACCTCTGTAACACATTACAAGGTCAGGATTTCCTTTCATTATCTGACCCTACAATGGTGATTCCTTAAGGAACTTGTTTTGTCTAAATGTTTGCATAGCATAATTAAGGTAATCAGAAAATACCTTTTTAAGGGCATTTTCATATTTAGATCATGGTTGTACACTGTGTAAAAACAGAAAACAGAACATTACAGAAACCTCAGAGAAAGGCAGATCATTTTTATAGCTCTCCAGTTCACACTTGTTGACTGTGGCATAGAGCAGCAGGTAAATGTAGTACTGGTCATCATCTGAGGTCTAAACCAAAGTAGCATTCAGTGCTGCTGTGTCAGTGCATGTGAAGAGTGACTTCATAATTTGCAATGGGTTTTGTAGGAAATGGCTTCTGTGCGGCAGCTATGGAGGTGGCATATGTGATGGGGTATTGAGAACTGTTGTGTTAAAGATGTCAGTCTGCGGAGGAAAAGATAGAAAATCACTCAGCTAGGCCACTAAAACCTTACAAGGACAACCACTATGGCATAGAACACAGACGGCCTCAGTGTGTGTGTGTGTGTGTGTGTGTGTGTGTGTGTGTGTGTGTGTGTGTGTGTGTGTCAGAGTTCTTTTAGACTTCATATAAACAAACCCAAAGACTATTACCAGAGGCTCTTAAGGGTTTGTCTGTGTGTACCTGTGCATGAGCCTGTGTGTGTCAGTGCAGAGCCTAAAAGTTCTACATGCTTGAGTATTTTCTTTCACTTTTGACCCTGAACTATAGAGGTGGTTGTATTCTCAGTATGAGCGTGTGCTTTTATCTCTGAGCCTGAACATCTCCGCTCAAATGACAGCCAGGGGTGTTCAGGTGGAGATTCAGTCCAGAACACATAAAGGTAAACTTCACATCCTTTAAAGCAGTTTATCTGTGAAACTGTAGCAGGGACCCAGGCTGGGCTGTGGGTCTGTTTTAACACAGGTTGACATGACACAAGTGTATTTAGAGAACCTAGATGCTGCAGTGAGGTTACATTGCTCAAATATATTTCCTGTGATGAAAAGTCACAAGTGCTGGGTCTTCACAGCAGGTTTTTTTCTTAGTGTTATAGGTGTGTTTTAGGGTTGCAACAGTTATTTTCGGTGTCAATTTATCTGTTGATTATTTTTTAGATTAGTTGCTAAGTTGTTTGGTCTATAAAATGTTAGACGTAGTGAAAAATGTCAATCGTGTTTCTCAGAGCCCAAGATGACCACCTGAAGTGTCTTGTTTTGTCCACAACCCATAGATATTCAGTTTACGGTCATTAAAAAACCCCCAGAAAATATTCACCTTTAAGAAGCTGGAGTTAGAGAACACTGACTTTTTTTTTTTTCTTAAGAAAATTACTCAAACCGATTAATCAATTATCAAATTAGTTGACAATTAATTTAATAGTTGACAACTAACTGATTAATTGTTACAGCTCTAATGTGTTTTAGACTTCTAACTCTGAAACAATTAGAAAATAGCCTTTAATGGGTTTATCTGTTTATTTAGAAAGACTCATTGCTTAGATATATTGTCAAGTTGTCTGACTCTGCGCTGATGTTTTTATCGTTGTATGTTTTAATGTTATATTTTAGTTTTTCTCTGACTGCATACAAAAATAAACAGAGATGTGGGGTCAAGTGGAGAAGCACATTTGATGTTTTGTATGCATGATGAAGTGAAGTTTTATGCAGGTGTGTTGTAGTAATGAAAACAAGGATGGTCGCATTGCAACTGTTTTCAATATGAGACAGTTGGCCTTTCTGGAGGAATCGAGGACAAGTTTGTGAACAGTTTAAAGTTAACCTTGGTGTTCTTCTCCTGAGAGTGTGTGTGTCTTAGTTAATTGTCAACTTTATTTCCCCTCTCATTTTCCAGAAAATGCAGAGCCGTCAGAGCTGAAACAGTTCTTCGACCAGAACTACTCCCATATCTACTATGTCTTCTTTGAGAACTTTGTCACCATTGAGGTCAGCCTCAAGCAAAAAGGTACGTTTTTCTCACTGTCAACCAAACAGTAAAGCTCTGATTAGTCTGCTTTTACAGTGTAGAAATAAAGCAATGTATCATTGTTATTCAGCCATATCATTGTGCTCTATTTAAGCTAGTCTGTGTGTTTCAGGTCATAAGTCTCAGAGGGAGGAGCTGGACTCAATTCTCTTCATCTTTGAGGTAATAAAATATTGTTGCAAATTTCCAATGAAAATTGAAATCTATAGAAAACTCTTTACTAAAACCTTGTTGCAACATGACATCAGAGTAGAGCTCTCACATTATGTGAAGCGTTTGTGATTCCATGAACTCTAACTTTCTGTAGGTGGTCTGGATCAGTACCACAGCACAAGCTGGCATTGACCCCAGAATAAGACCACTGGTATTTAGCAACACTGACTGGGTGGTGCCTAGAGTCGCCAGGATAAGATAGCAGAGTCAGTATGTGTGTGTTACTGACCTCCATTTGGC